AGGGAAAGATGAGGAAGGTCGAGTGATTGTTTGGGCAAGTTGGGAGGGTGTTTGGTTGATTATAGGTAGGCAGGATAGCATGGTTGTGGGAGAAATAGAGGTGGCGGTAGTGTGGTGGTAAGCAGCTAAGGGGAGTGGCAAGAGAAGGGTCGGGAAGAAGATACGAAGGAGTTGGAAGTATACAACACCACCTCAAAGTATGAAACAACCGAAGCACCATGTCATCAGATAGACCCTTAACAAGAGGGAAAGACTCCACAAAAGAGATCTGAAGACAACACAATCATAATTGACTCATACACACAGTGAACAACAATTTATAGCCTCCTACTACTGCACAAAAGGAATGGGGTAAGAAGGTAAAAAGAATCCAGAATAAACTCTTCTCAAAAGAAGACATATGTAGCAGATATGCAAAGCAACCCCCTGGATAGAAAGAGTTCGCGATCTGCATCACTCCTTCGTGCAGGATGACGATCCTGTCCGCCTTCCGTTCTTGGAAGCTTCACTGGACTCGTCCCGCGAAATCAAAGTGCCCCGATGCTGGGCTTATTCAACGCCTGCATCATACACTCCTCACCCACTCCTTAAGGGGATCTCAAGTTAGTCTCTTAACAGCCAACAACCATCAATCTCTTCGATCACCCACCTCCAATGTCGTGCAATGATTGAATGGACACAAGCACCAATAATATTTTGCCATCCAATTTCTTCAATCTTGCATTTGATTATAGTGCTTTAAATTCATATTTAAGCTTGTGTTCTGATTTAGTTTAGTGATTATTAAGAATTGTGCTCAAAATTTCTATCACAGGTAAGTTCTTTAATATTATGAGTCTTAATTTAAGCACTTGGATGGCGGTTGTTGAAGCCATATGATAGACGAACCCATAATTTCTAGGGTATAAGTCATTAACAGGTAGATCAATACCTGGTACCAATGAAGGTAAAATCATAAGATGAAGAAATATGTTAGGGATACGAAGATAATGCTTCATTACAGAATAAATTAATCTTTATCATATGTTGATATGTGTGGATGGTACATACCTTAGAGTATGTCGTATGATCCCAAAATTGGAGC